CAGGTACATAGCAGCCTCTCTTTATTCACCTCTTCCTTCAGCACTGCATGCAGGTCCCAAGTTCTACATGCTTCCATCCTCCTGCCCCACTTCCTCTTTAGTCCCCTTAGAAAGAACCTGTGTCCAAGTCTTGGCTTCACCTCATTTAGTTTTTCATTCAAATAGCAATTAAGCACCTTTGAAATGCCAGACATTTTCTGGCATGAATTTGCTTCCATGTGAGGTAGAAAAGACCCTTTCACCAGTGGGTCTATTTCTAAGACATGATCCCCTTTCTGGGAAACTAAGAATTAGATAAGATATATACACCCACTGTTAGTGTTCTGTAGGTGACCTTGCTGACTTCAGTCTAGGTGCCTTGTTAATTCCTCATTAATCTTCCTAAAATTTGATTTCATCACAGCAGTCCCTTACTCAAGAACTTATGATTGCCCCCAAGTTCCCTCTAGGTGTTCTGCAAATTATATCAGTCCCACAGGACTTGACACATCATGGTCACAGAGTGGGAAATTAGGACCAGAGAGTCAAGAAGCAGGAACAAGGGGTCAAGTTAGGTTGGTGTGTCAGAACTCAAGGAAATTGTATTTCCAGAAGACAAGATAATCAGTCATAAATCAGGGAAACCAGTGGAATAGCAAATACAAGTCACCATCAGCAGGGACACTAACCTATGCCTTCTGTGAAAAAGGGCTTTTCCCTAATAAAAAGGCAAGTTTCTGGAACATGAGTGTTTAGTTGTACAAGACACCTCAGTATCAACAGCCTCAAAGAAGGTGGTCAGCTATTAGACCAAGAGGACCACAAGCTGGGGATACTCAGGGCACCTGCTCAAGTGCCTGAAGAAGGCTGCCAGCTAAGCACAGATTAACACAGTCTCACTAGTAGCACCTCTGTGTTATTGGGATGCAGACAAAAGCATTATAAAGGTACGTTAAAGGCCAGCTTGAGTCAGGGGTTGAAGAAGGAAACGAATTCTCAGTGAGAGAAGGCTGTGTGTGTGTGTGTGTGTGTGTGTGTGTGTGTGTATTGTTAGGAAATTGAACCCAAGGGCCTTGCACACTCTACTCAGCCTAGGAGATAGGTTTTATGTTAGAACTGGAAAGGATCTTAGAGAACACTAACTCAACACCTCCTTTAGCTGTGAGGAAACTAAGTTTTCTGAGTGCTACAGAGCAGAATATTCAGGGTCATTTTAATAATAACTGAACTTGAACTATAATCACCATGACCCAGCTACAAATCCAGGACTGTGATTCTTTCTCTGTGTGTGTCTCTGTCTCTCTCTATTTTTCATGGTGCTGGGGATTGAACCCAGGGCCCCACGAATGCTAGGCAAGCAACTGAGCACACAGAGCAACTGAGCCCTACTCTAGCTTTTTTTACTCAATTTCCTCTAATACATACATATATACCATGCCAAGGCTGAGCTGCAAAATTAAACAGCAGTATAAGTATTTTAGTAAGTCCTGGCAGTTTAGAGAGATTGTTTGTGGCCCTGTCTATTAGCTTGGTTAGTTGAGGGGACTGCAAGATCTCAAGGAGGGCTTGGACTGAGTGCTAGCTCAGGGATGGGTTAGACCAGCATGTCTCCTGTACCTTCAAACATATGTGCAAAAGTACACACACACACACACACACACACACACACACACTTTTCTCTTGAATACTAGCATATGTGAGTAATAGTCAAACAATGTTGAGTTGTTGGGATTCCTGCTCCTGAGGTTAGCAGTTAGATGGAACAGACTCCAGCAGGGGGAGGAGTAGGAAACAGAGCAAAGTAAGTATGTACAGAGAACAAGTACATTAAAAGACTTTTAGGCTGGCAGTGTGGCTCAAGGCTCAAGGCCTTGGGTTCAAACTCTAGTACCACTGAAAAGAAAGAAAGAAAGAAGAAAGCAAGAAAGAAAGAGAAAGAAAACTTTAAGGGCTGGGGGCATGGCTCAAGTGGTAGAGGTTTGCCTAGCAAGCACCAGGCCCTGGGTTCAATGCCCAGTACCACCACAATAAATAAATAAGATTTTTATACCAGTTCAAATAAAGATCTAGAAAAAGAAACGGGCCAAGGGAATAATGCTATATCCAATGGTACTACAGAATCTCTGTGAGGAAATAGCTCTTTGCTGAGAACAGAATATTTTGCATCAGGTTGTCAATTACTTTAAGATGTGGTTTATACTGGCTGTTTCTTTTTGGGTTAATTTTCTTTTCCATACAGACAGAATTTTTAGGAAATCAGTTTATTGACCTCCTCTCACATTGTACCTTTTTTTCTTTTTCCTTTTCTATTGTCATGCTTTGAAAGGCCTTTCCCTCCTCCAAGATTATCTGAAAATTCAATATTCTAGATTGTTTATGGTTTCATTATTTTTAAAAACTTGCTTGTTTGTTTTGGCAGTACTGGGGTTTAAATGCAGGGCCTTGAGCTTGCTAGGCAAATGCCCTACCATTTCAGGCACTCCAGCCCTTCATTTAAAAATTTTGAATCTTTGCGGGGTGCTGATGGCTCACACTTATAATCATAGCTACTCAGGAGGCAGAGATCAGGACTGCGGTTCATAGCCAGCCTGGGCAAATAGTTCACAAAACCTTATCTTGAAAAAAACCCTTCACAAAAGAGAGATGGTGGAGTGGCTCAAGGTGTAGGCCTGAGTTCAAGTCCCAGTATTGCAAAAATAAATAAATAAAAAATTTTGAATTTTGGATTTACTTTGATGTTGGAATGTAACTTTATCCCCCCCTCCTTCCATGCTACTATCAGTTCTTTGTTTTAGGGCTAGAAAGTCTCAAAGCCCTTTTAACCAATACAGAGGGGAGATAACACTATGGTTGCCAGAACCCAGAAGCCACACATAGGTTTGTATAGTGTTAGACAACAATGGGAAGTTAACCCAAGGAAAAGAAGACTAAATCCTTGCTCTAGATTGGTTTAGTCTTTAGTCAAGAACACTTACATCTGCACACTCCCTTTCTCAGTCTACCTGTAGAAGACAAGAGATTTACCCTCCAGAGAGTGGAAACAGAGAACTTCTGGTGGGAACAAGGCACCCTATTTAAAGCATTGAATTATACCCTGTAGAGTGAATGGCCATGCCAGGCAGGCTCTGTCCCTGGCACCCAGAGTACTAGGAAAACAAACTTCTATCTTCCCAGAGAAAAAAGAACACTTTCCCTAGAAATTCCTCTCTAGAGAAACAGACCCATCTGGGAATAAGACCTAGAAATACTAACTTTTGGTAGATGCCCAGTGAAATATGAGGGTTCTCACCAGTCACTCTAAGAGGTTCTCCAGGTGACAAATGCTGTCGTGCATTTGCTGTCTTTCCCTTAAGTATAAACAGACTACCACACATTACACCACACACCTGGGGGAAGTTTCAACATGAAAATCAGATTGGAAAAAAAACAAAAAGAAAAATGAAAAAGAGAAAAACCCACAGGAAATATAGGAGCCATGGAAGCAAGGAGAAAAGTTAAAAAGCACACTAATAGTGGCTGCTCGTGGTGGATCATGCCTGCATCCTAGCTACTCAGGAAGTAGAGATCAGGAAGATTGCAGTTCAAGGCCAGCCTGGGCAAAAAGTTGGCAATACCTCATCTTATCAAGGTAGTTATGATGGTGCACATCAGTTATCCCAGGTACATGGGAGGTTTAAACAGGAGGATTGAGGTCCAGACTAGTCTTGGCAAAAACTCAATCAAGAACAAAAAACCCCCAAAAAAACAAGGGCTGGGGATGTGGCTCAAGGCATGAGACCCTGCGTTCAGTCCGGAGTCACACACATAAAAAAATTCTGTGTGAAAAATACAAAGGGCTAGCAGGCATATCTCAAGTGGTAGAGCACTTGCCTAGTGCTGAAAAACAAAAAGACACATTTTTAATGTTTGCAACTTAGGCCTGTTTTCTCAGAAAGCTACTGATGGATGTTTCCTCCAGATAAGAAACCAGAAGTCAAGACACGGGATGCGAAAGAGGACAGCAGCTGTGTAGCCAATGGGCAGGAGGATGGAAGCTCCGAGAGATACCTGCGGGAATAAAAATGAAGTGTGAGGAGTTTCATAAAGATCGATGGTCCTGCCAAAGGAGAGTGCTAACAAAGTGCAGAAAACAGAGGGAACTAAACAATTAGGCAATACCATCTCCAGAGAAAACAATTGTATAAGAAAACAAATGTAGCCATAGTTCATGGTTTGGCTCGTGTGTGAATGAATACTGGTGGTGTATTTGATAATTATATTGGAAGGAGGTTTGGTAGAAAAGCTAAACCCATGTTTTTCCATAGTAGGAAGTTAACAAATACCTAAAACTGAAAAATCAAGAAATAGTACATATGCATGTTACTTAAAAGTAGAGGTTGGGAGCCAGCACCATGAAGACCTCCGGCACATTCCGGGAGTGCAAGGTTGTGGGGCGCTGCCTCCGGACCCCCAAGTGCCACGCGCCGGCACGCAGTGCTACCGCGACATGGGCGCCCAGCACCGCCGGCGCGCACTCCATCCCTCTCCTGAAGGTGGAGATCACGGGCGGTCAAGCAGTTCACGACTCCAAAATCAAGTTCCCGCTGCCCCACCGCGTCCTGGGCGCCAGCACAAGCGCAAAGAGCGCCAACACCTTCTTCTAGACGCGGCCCAGCCGCCCCAATAAACCCAGCGACCCGCAAAAAAAAAAAAAAAAAAAAAGGGTGGGCTGCAGGTGTGGCTCAAGTGGTAGAGTACCAAGAACTAGGTCCTCAGTTTAATCCCCAGTACCAAGCAAAACGACACAAGTAGAGGTACCACTAAAAGGCCTCTAAGAACCGAGTACTATTTGACTTTCTAAACCATGCAGAAGTATGTTAGCTGAAATAACACTAAGTAAACATCCGTCTGGATTTCTCTGTACACACACTCAGCAGAATATCTGTATAGACATTCCCCATCTCCACACTCAGCTGGGATTACAGGATGATAAATTTGGGAGAAGTCCAATTGTACTAAGACTTATTCCCTGCCCTGTTTTGGAAGTTTAGAGAGCTCAGCCTATAACCCGCCACATCTTGAGGATGCAGGGACTTGTGCATGACTAACACCTAACACAGAATGGCCAAACATGGAAATGGCTGAGGGAGTACCTAATCAGAGAACCAAGCTTGAGTTGCCCTGAATGACACCTGAGCAAGAGTACCAGAAACAGCAGGACTGAGATGCCGGTATGGGAGAGATTACTGGCATTTGAATGTCCCCACCTAGAGGGAACCCCAGTAATGTCACAGCTGTACTAGCTTTCTGTTTTGTGGGGGAATACTGAGAAAAAAACCCAAGCCAACCACACCTTGGGAATGAGACTCAAGCCTTCTATTAGAGTGGACTTTTAGTGGCACTGGGGTTTTTGAAGTCAGGTTTTCATGCTAGTGTTTTTGTTCTGGGAAGTTCCAAGACAGGTTCTCAAGAACTATTCACCTGGAGCTGGCTTCAGTGATCCTTCTGATCTCTGCCTGCTGCTGAAGACTAGTTTGTAAAAACCATGGAATCTGTCCAAATACGCTTAAGAGCAAGGAGGAAAATTATAGAATATCTAGCACCAACCAAGAGAGAACCCTAATGTAAACTATGCACTTTGGGTGATTATAGTCTATGCAGGTTCAATTGCTACATGAACCATTGTGGTGTGGAATGCTGATAATTGCAGAGATGGGGGTATATGGGAATTTCGTACTTTATGCCCAGTTTGGCTGAAACTGTTCTAGAAACAAAAGAAAAAAACAAAAATGTTTTTTAGTGTTCAAGCATTTTATTAAATCACATAAGGAATCTCCCCATTGTTGCACATACTGGCTTGTGTACAAGTATAAGGGCATGTCACTTGTTTACAGAAATAGAGCTGAGTAGGTTGAGCTAACACAGTGAAGGTCATGCAAGTTCTACAGTGAATCATGACAGAGCTCATTCAGTAGATCCTTTACCTTCAAAATCTTTAACCAGAAAAAAATCTGAAGACTTAACAGGTTGCCACTCATCTGACACATGCTTCATTCAGGCCTCTTGCCACTCACTGCCTTGTTTGATTGGAAGTAACTCAACCCATTAATAGCAAAGGGTTAGGGTTTTTTAAGACCTAATGTGAACACTTTTTCCCATTATACCTTGGAGTATGCATGCAAGATACCCAAACTAGGAATCCCAGCTATGACCTTTTCATTTAGCTGTAGTAAGTATCGGTCCATGAAGATGAGCAAAACCGAGCAGCAAAACAATGCAGTGAGGCTATAAAATAATAATCTACGTCTATGTAACTTGAGTGAGTGACACTAGGTTTTAAGAACCCTTAGAGAGGGCAGAAGGATGATTCAAGTGCATGTGCCTAGCAAACACAAGACTTGAAAGTTCAAGCTCCAGTACAAAAAAAAAGAAAAACAACAACAAAAAACCTTTAAGAGACCCTACTGACCTTTCCTTAGGTGGCAGTTTTTTGAACTGCTCTTTAACAGCTGGTTATCAAGTTTATGATGATGGCTAATGAGAAAAAGCCTTTACTCAAATGACCTCAAACTTCTGTTAATATCTATAGTTTGTGCACACCATACTAATGGTAGATTAAAGATCTTTTTGCAAGCTTTGCCTCCCCACACCCTTCACTCCTCCCACCCCAAATCTATACAAGTTCCCCTTCTTTAAGCCAAAAGGTCAATTCTGGATTCGAACTTGCCTGAACTAAGATTTTATAAGACAACATGCAAATAACGAGATCAAGTTGAATTCATTTATCAACATCAAACATTATAAATGTATGCTAACCCCCTAAACAGAAGACCTAGAGAAACCACAGACAACAAAACACCCATATTTAAAAAAAAAAAAAAGATCTTGAAGGAATAATTTTATTTTACAGCAGTTGACTTTACCCACCAAATGCTTAATGACCACAAAATGTTTCTGAAACTAAAACTAAGTTATATAGGGAGTTGGGAATACATGTTAGATACTAACGATCTTCAAGCTTTGAAGATGTCATTGCATGAAGAAAATTATGGGAAACACTGTTCCCGATAATTACATACACCCTTAGTGTAACATGGAGATCACTGTCTCCGATATAAACACTGTGGTAGGCAAAAACTACCTTGTTCTTTATACATTATGGAAGACACTGCTCCCGATAATGTGAGTTAGGTTTGTGACAAAGGTACTGGAAATTTTGCAAAACTGGAATTTAAGTTATACCTTGAATGTCTGATATAAAATTTTGTATGAGTACTAACACAGGCTTGAAGTGATATTTATTTATAACCTGGTAACAGTTCATTACATTTATGAGAATTTTATTTTTAGCCAGCTAAAAACAGTTAACTTAATTAACAATCCCTATTTAAATTTAATTCTTCTCCAATTAATATTTAACAGTGTAATTTTATTTAGTCTGTGGCTGTTTCCTAAAACCCTCAAGTATTGACCATAAGTGCAAAACTTCCAGTATCTGTTGGGTTTTATTTAGCAGATGCTGCTTTTATTCAAAAAAAACGACAGTATAACTGTCATAATTATGGAAGGCACTGCTTCCGATAATTATCTTCTATAAAAAAAAAACACCATTTATAGTGAACTCTGTCACTGATAAATAAACAATAAATATCTCAGTGCCAAAATGATAGAAAGCTTTCCCAAAAGATTAACACTTTGGCCAAAACTTGGCAGTGTGTTTTAAATAATCTGACAAACTGAGTCTGAAATTAAATGCCTAAAACTGGTTCTTTCAGAATACTTTGGAAAAAAACAAAGAATTTAAAGGCTGTGGAGCAGAGATCACAGGAAAACAAAATGCATAAAAGTCTTTGGCTTCTGGTCTCCTCTTTTCATAAATAATGCAGCTAATACATTAAGGCCTTATTCCTGTGATGAACAGTTGAACCTCATTATCCAGTTTTGAAGGACTCAAACCTCACTGGCAAGAAAACAAGTCCTAGCTCTTCTGGAAGTTAACTGTTTCATTCAGGGATGTGGAAACCAGCTAAATCCTTATGGAAGGGCATGTATCTTATTTGGATAACCAGGTCTTACAACCTGGTATCTCCTATTTAGCATCAAATTAAGATTGAGGATCATACACGCCAAGCCACTGCTTTTAATTTTCGGCAGCTACCACCTTCTTCCTCCCACCTCAAAAGATCATGTCCTTAGGATTTAGAGCAGAGTTCATGGAACTGGTTCTAACATTTTCATAACTATGACACAAAGAGGCAGTTAAAATTGTTGAGATAATTCGAGAAAATATTCTATCATAAACATTTTTTTCTAAAGTAGTTTTTCACTTTAAGTTGAAGAGCAGGTACCTACCCTGTGTTAAAAGCTGCTGCCTAACCTACAGACATCTAGTAGTATCAAGATGATTGGGTAGAATTTTAACATTAGGTTTTGTAGCTCTACAGAAAATTTAACACAACCAGCACAGACTACTCTGCTATTCTTAGTACGTTATCACTGTCACATTTAAAACTCATTGTCAATATCCCAAATGTCACCAGAAAGGGCATTTGCAACTCCCTGAATGGTCCAAGTTGCTAGAGCCAACTGGTTTCTCAACAGTGTTTCATTGAAAGCACCATTTTTCTTCTCACGTAACTTCAAGTTCTCTAGTAAAGCTGACAGAGTGTGAGAGCCAGAGCCCCAGAAGATGTGTCGGAAAGGAGACTCCCTTGGAGATACATAGGGAGAAAGGAAGTGGTACTCCACCTGTGAAGACAAAACAGCAAAACGGCTTACACAGTGCTATAATTCATGTAGTAAGGAAAGAACCCGGTAAACTAGAGCAACTGTTATTCTCTTTCAATGCTAAAATTCTCCCTAAACTTGAGAATGTTGAGAGCAAAGCTACCAATTTCTTAAGGTTAAAATTCTGAAGCAAACTGTCAATTCCTTTAAGAACCCTTGTATTAATCCTAGCTACTCGGGAAGCAGAGATCAGGAGGATTGTGGTTCAAAGCCAACATCTGATCTCAAAAAATACCCAATCCTAAACAGGGCTGGAGGAGTGGCTCAAATGGTAGAGCACCTTCTTAGCAAGCATGACACTCTTCCAAACCCCAGTACTGCCAAAAAAAACTGTATTGAGATTGTTTTTTGGTTGGAACACAAAAGGTTTATAACACAGCTCATTTCTTCCAAGCAGACTAGGGTAAAATAGTTAAGGCCTGACTAAACAGACAGCTGAATTCCTTAATGATTTCTTATTTAAAAAACAACAACAACAACAACAACAACAACAAAAAAATGGGATTTTTTGGTGCAAGGGTTTGAACCCAGGGTTTCGCTCATGGTAAGCACTCATTCTACCACTGAGTTACACCTGCTGCCCCTAAAAACTTAAACTCTAAGAAATTACTCTAAGGTGAAATATCTCTTGTAATGTCCAGGTTAGATATGCTGGTTTTAGATACTGCTGTGAGTTAAAAATCTGTGCTCAATTCTAAAGCAAAAGGGTTCCTAGAGTTACCCTTTAGAAATGTGAGCTTTACTAATTAAAAATTTAAATAAAAATTTTCAAGTTTACTTACTTTCATGATCCGATCATTGATTTGCCCCATAACAAATCTGTTTGTTTTTTCAGCATTGTGGAAATCTGTTGTTAGTCTCGAGGTAGCACGGAAATAGTCTCCCCGAGCGGAATACAGCCACTGTAGACTCAAGCCCATCTCCTGTCATAGAAAAATGTCAAATTGACTATAAGTTAGCTTCTAAGGATGCTATTCTAAATGCCTTTCTGTTAGATGTAATAGCTAAGATACTAATAAAAAGAAGTGACTCACAGGTAAACTCAAGGCTCTGAAAGCAAGACTTAACCACCGTGTTTTAGAGGCTCTATAAATGGTAACACTCATCTTTGAATCCAGTGAACAGTACAATTTTTCATTTTTGCCTCATAAGAAAACTACTATCATTAAAAATTTTTAAATAATTTGCTTAGGAAAAGGATATATGCAGTCTATTTTTATCCCAGTTCAATTTCTGTATGGGGGAAAACCTTTGGTTGTTCCATTTCCTAACATTACTTATTACAAGAAAGCCATCACAAGGTTAGTGATATACATCAGTAAGCCATCTGTTAAATCAATTCCTAGTATCATGAATCCAGCTGGCAACTACTAACTAACATCAATTTAATGTTTGAATACTAGACTCAGGATTAACACACCTTCTTTCCATCCAAGCCATGTATGAAAGCCATGTATACAGCCTACACTCATGGTGGAAATCTTTATATTGTCCAGGTTCCACCCATGTATGGATTGACCGGACTCATGAATGACAGAAAACACAGTTCAACACATTCTGAAATACTTGCTGTGCTCTATCCCAGATCAATAACCCACAGCTTCCCTGTTTCTTTTTCAAATGAGTTATGGATTCTAAGCAAAATTATACCTCAGTTTACTTTAAAATGTACTTATCCCTCCCCAGGAACATCATATGGAAATGGAAATTAGAACAATCATTATGGAAAATTCTCAAAATTAAAAATAAAACTACCACATAATCCAGCAATCCCACTCCTGAGTACATATTTAAAGGAAATCTGTAATGTCAGAGACACAACTGCATTCCTATGTTTATTACAGCATTGTTTGTAACAGTTATGAAATACAAACAATCTAAATGTTCATCAACTGACAATTGTATAAAGAAAACACGGTTAGTACATCGCATAATGCATAACAGTATCATACAGTCACAAAAAATGAAATCTTGTCATCCGCAACAACATGGTTAGGACTAGAGATGGTCATGTTAAGTGCAGTAAGTCAGGGTCATTCATGTGGAATATGAAAATAGTTGATTTCATACAAGTTGAGAGTAGAAGAGTGGTTACCACAGGCTAGGAAGAGTAGCAGGGACGGAAGAATGGGGAAAGAGTCAATCAATGGGTCCTAAATTTTAATTAGATAAGGGCGAGAAATGTTGGTCTGTGCTGCACAGGGTGACTATAGATAGTGATGTACTCTGTATTTCAAAAGGCTAGAATTATTGACATTTTTACCATAAAAGTAACAAGTGGAGAGATTAACACCACATGTGATAAAAACTACATATCCATAAATATGGACAATTTTTTTATGTATCATTTGAAAATAAATTTAAATTAAAAACAAAAATTTTAACAAGAACCTATTTCAATTACTACTCACCTTTATGCCTGCTTTGTATTGGTTCAGATCCTTCACGAATGAAAGTATTTTGTTGTTATACATCTCGTAGTCGAGGTTCAATTCAACATCATGGGTAAGTTTAATTATGAACTGGCCAGCCACTTCTGCTGCTACACACATCATTTTGTCCAGCTGAGGAATTTCCTTAATCAGGTACTCATAGGTATCCAAAGCGGTACTCAAGTAAGGATAATAAGTGTTCTGGAAAACAAAGCCAGGCCACAGTAATCACGTGGGTTGTAAGAGCAGGAGCCATGGGGTTTGGGGTGTGGCTCAGGTGGTAGAGCACCTGCCTAACAAGTGGAAAACCCTGAGTTCAAACCCCAGTAAAAAGCAGGAACATCATATTCTGGCTTCACCATTAGGATAAGTTACTAACAATTCCTCCCTTGTGTTGCAACCTTAAGAAGATACCATTCTTGCTGCTTTCCTTAGAATCTAACCTACTCCTAGAATGACTACTTTCTTCCAGGTTCTACAGAATCTATGTTCTAATGCAGCACAGATCCTACACAGATTTCTGGCCAAATTCCTTGAGGCTGTGTCCCTTGTTCTCTTCTCTCTGGGAAATCTGGTCCATTTTAAAAGGGAAAGAGTAAAATGACCCAAACATTGTATGCACATATGAGTAAAAGAAAAAAAAAAAAAAAAGAGGGAAAGAGTAAAGTATACATGAAATGTACTGTCAATATAAAGCATCACTCTTAGACTAAAATTCACCTTCTTCCTAATCATGAAGCACCAGGCGCAACTTTTATAATCAAACAACTTCCCTAAGTACTTTTTATGCTTCAACTCTCTTTGCTACTATTGTCCTGAGACTGGTGATAATCTCATTGATATTTCTTTGGTTTGACCTCAATTCATTATTTTTAGACTTACATTTCTATGACTCCATCTTTTATCCAGTACTGTTAGCTAGGCTTTGACATCTCAAACTACATTTTAAGTTTTTACAAAACATGACTTGTGAAGGTCAACAGGAATCATTAATTCCTTCAACCCTAGGACCTGACGGCCAGCACTTGCATGTGATGACCTGCTAGTTTACCACTCATGCTGCTGCTCAAGCAGATGATCGAAGAATTCCAGCCATGTTCATCGCAAGTTCCCTATCCTCCACCACTCCTCGCCTAGTGACTGATAGTTCAGTTAGGACTTGGCCTATACTGGGTTAACAACCTGATGCCAAGAATCTCCAAAAAACACTTGGTCTCAAGGTTAATGAAAGATATACTACATAATGGTTGTAGAGTTCTTGAGACTTACCTCACAAAAACAGAAGGAAACTGATGGAATTCCAGAATATGCAAGAAAAGGGTAAGCAGCATTATCAATAGAAAGCTTCTCTCTGCCAAGGAAAGCAAGAATGTGCCTTTAGAAAGTTTTCTAGAGAACAGACTGCTACAGTGCAACCCTCCTCTGAACCCCCAATTCATTCCTACATAGAATCTATAAGTAAAGTAAAGTTCACTGCAAGGATCATTATCCACACAGTAGTGCTACTGGGCAATTCTGCCTTTCTACTGGTTGTTCATTCGCTTCAACTTACACTTTGTTAACCCAATTGCTGTCCTGATATAGAGATCGCCCATTAAGTGGATGCTTCACCTGTAAAATAAGGAATTGATTTATCAGAAAAACCCATAATTTTTTGTTATTTATGCAGGCTAGTTCCTGCTTTTCTTCATAAATATTTGTAAAAATATTTAATTTTTTGTTATCTTTTGAAAAATTTACAATTTAGAACAATGTCAAATTTCTTTTGCTGTTTTTTGCAGTGCTAGTATGGCACCTAGCCTTACATGTACCAGGCAAGTACACTACCACTCAGTTACATTCCTACCCACAATCTCAAATTTCTTATTACTCCTAGTAGGCTTATGCTGTCTTAGTTATGGTGAGAAAAATAATACCTTCCTTCTTTTAGGTAGCTTAACCATAAGTTTAAAAACTTCACTAGCCTATATGATATGCATATCTTGTCTCTGTTCTTTCTTATAGCATGTTTTTGGGTGAGGCTGGAGCAGGGGCTCTACCACTGGAAACATATCCCCATTGCCCTTACAGCACATTTTACTTTGTCAGCCTAACTAGCAAACACATTACTGCATTGTTTTGTGACCCTATAGTGATACCTAGATTCTTATGGCATCAAGGCCACACCAAGCTTTATTATTTTGCTCCAGTAATTATTCCAATGTATACCCCCTAGCCCCATAAGCAGACGTTCTCACGTTTCTCCCTCATTCATCCACGTTTTCCTTTTTTCATGAGTATTTCCTTTGGCCTTATTTGCTCCATCTAAACTTTCTTTAACATCCAGACGTAGACAACCCCCTGTGAACACCTAAGTACAACTCAGGCCTCGTGGTACTTTGTTACATATTTCTAAACCATTTTTGAGAATGGAGCCCTTTGTATACCACCTTCCTCCCCTCACATGGTTCAACAGGTGACAGATCAATAAACCAAGAGCATTACTTAATGATGCTGTAGAATTTATCCTAAATTCCTGTTATTGATTACTGACTGGTTTAAATGTTTTCATCTAATATAATTTGACAAAAAATAAGTTATATTTTTGTAAGTAGGTATACACTCACATCTTGCATTGTCTTCTCAATAAGTTTATACAATAGTGGGCTGCCAGAAACCTTGAAGTTGCTGGTACCTGCAAAAGAAGTATTTTAGCATTGCCTCTTTCCCAGTCAAGCAACTTTTATTTTGTTTTATTTTAAAGCAGGGCCGTTGCTATGTTCCAGGCTGCCCTGGAACACACTATGCAGCCTGGGCTCTGCTTCCTTATTGCTGGAATTACAGATGGTGTGCCACCATACCTAGCTAGCCAAGCAATTTTCACAGATACTTTCTATAACTAAAAATACAACAAACAGGAAGATAGGAATCCAGATCTGCAGTCCTATACAACAAATATTAATAAAGTAGATTTAAAAAAGTAATTTGGGAGCAATGGTCATTCCCCCCACACCCCGCCCCACTGGGGATTGAAACCAGCCCTTGGTCTGAGACAGGATCTCACTATATGGCACAAGCTACAGGGAGATCCTTCTGCTTCCAACTCACCCCCACACATGCATCTTCTTATCCTTTTAGATCAGTTGCCTCCTAGCTATAAGCTTACTAAACACAATACAGGGAAATGACTGATCTCAGGTAGACTATCTGGCTACATCTTAACATTAAACTCTCCAGTATTTCTATCAGTGCTGCCACAATCTACATATGAAGTGTTCCTTAAGGCCTAAATAATTGAACTAGCAGTTCTAGAACTCTGTTGGACCCCTGCTCCACCAAGTAGGTAGGTAGGGCGTCAAATTTTGCATTCCCAATAGTCCTGGATGCTATTGATCTGGGGCCATGTTGAGAACAGCTGCTTTGGAAAAGGTAATTTGCACCCACTCTGTAACAAGGAGTATTTATAACTGGTTATGGCCAATGTAAACTAAAAAATTAACAAATGCTGCTTATCAAAGTTTTCTTCTGTTGTTTCCTAAGTTTACCTAAATCATAAACAGCTAGTGAAAAGGATGCTTACCAAGAACAGCTTTATCCAGATTAATGTAAGTGAAAGCCTTTAAATGCAAAGAGGAAAGGTATCCCTAGAAGAAAAAATATTAATATTCATTAATATGTATTTATTAACCAATAGGCACTAATCTATTTATCACATAGAACAGCCACTATATTAGGAATTCATTTTGAAGTCAGGATTCTATTGACTCACTGTACAAAGACAAAAAATGGTACAATGAAATCTAAAAGCATGGTCTCTGGAGCCAATGCAGGTTCAGGTCCCCATTCTGGGCATATGTATAAATAATGATACCTCTAGCCATTCAGTGGCACCAACAGCTCCAAAGTCCCCAGCACTCCAACTGGCAAAGATAATGCTTCTGCTGGGTTTAAAGCCACCTTAAAAAAAAACAAAAACAAACAAACAAAAATATATATATACACATATATATGTATCTTAGCTTTACTTTGGGAGAGGTTACAGGTAGTTAGGAAATTGACTTAAGATTGATAAGAAGTTTCTAAATTCAAGATAGATTAAAAAACATTTCTTTTCCTTTTGAGATAAAAGAACACCAAAGGAAGAGAAATAATTTTTTTTTCTTTTTTGGTAGGGCTGTGGTTTGAATTCAGAGCTTTACTCTTGCAAAGCAGGCACTCTACCACTTGAGCCATGCCTTCAGACCAATTATTTTGGAGATGGGGTCTGGTGAGCTATTGCCCAGGTTGGTGTCGAACTTCTGACCTCCAGATCTCAGCCTCCTAAGTAGCAGAGTAATAAAATCTTAAAAGTAATCTATAGATTTCCAGTACACAGTAAAGACCAGTTTATTGGTAGTCACTCCTTTACAAGTCCATTCTTTGAGTCCTTTAGTCTTTGGAACAAGAGAAATTTAAAATCACAGTTCAAGTATGATGTATATGTTCTTTTAGAACATATTTGCTTTGGGTTGGACATGCTGGGTCACGCCTGCAATGCCAGCTACTCAGGAAAAGAGATAGGGAGCCAGCCCAGGCAAAAAGCTAGACCCCCATCTCCACCTGGGTGTTGTAGCTTATGCCTATGACCCTGGCTAAGTGGAAGAATGTAGTCTGAGGACAGACCCAGGGTAAAACATGATAAAACAAGATAAAAGCAGTAAAGGAAGTGAGTGGCGGGGAGGAACACAGGACACTGGGGGCATGACTTAAGCGGCAGAATACCTGCCTACCAAGCACAAGTTTTAAATACCAATACTGGTCTTTCTTTTTTTTTTTTTTTAATTGGTTTTTGAGACAGGGTCTCCCTATGGGGTCCAATCTAGCTTTGAACACATAATCCTCCTGCCTCAGCCTCTCAAGTGCTGAGGATATGCAAACACTCTCAGCTAGGATTTATTTTTTGAGACAGGTCTCTGGCCTCAAACTCATGGGCTCAAACAGTTCTCCTGCCTCAGCTTCCCAAGTAGTGGGACTAGAAAGAGGTATATGCTAGCACACTTGGGCTTATTTTTATTGAATAGAACAAGTATAAGAATTTTCCAGAAATTATATTTGTAACAGCTCCTTTTGGCACTTCATGTACCACAGCTCCCAATCCCACCAATCTTCATGGGTATATATTTTTCTGTGTTCATGTACTTTATATAAAAATTAAACACTGTAATTTATGCTATGACCCAAAGACTCAAGAATGTGATATAAGTTTGCATGTATGCAAAGTGAGATGTTAGGAAACAATGCCACGAGGAAGGATTTGGCATGTCCTTCTGAGTATGTCAAGCTAAGAGTTAGGGCTCAATGCTCTCCAGTGTCTCAAAGACAATTTTCAGTGCAATGAAAACCCTTCATAAGTCAAAAGGCAGCTAAAACTAAAGACAATCTGCCTTGTATTAAAGGATCTAACTAACAAGAGAAACAATCATTTGCTGGCAGAGTGGCTCAAGCAGTAAGAGCACCTGCCTACAAGTGCTGTGAGGCTCTGAGTTCAAACCCCAGTGCCACAAAAAAAAAAAAAAAAGAGAGAGAGAATCCTAATATAGGCAAAAGGCAAACATAAGCAAAATACATAACATCTAGAACTATATGCAGCACATAAATGTTTGAAGGTCTCAAAATTTGTACTCTACCTGTTAAGACCATATCTGAGAATGTCCGGGCAAGTTCCAACAGAAGAGCTGTTCCCACACTGGACTTTGCAGCTCCAGGGCCCCAGGAATCCCTCTGGGCCCCTACGACAATGTATCGGTCTAAGGGGGAGAAAAAAAAAACTTTACACAATCAGCTTTTAAATGTTTCTCTAATACTGAAGTCAAGAATAACCACCTCAGTAGAAGGGTTAAAAGCCTAACTTCAGATCTGACTTAGGACACTAGTGATTAAAATTCATGTGACTGGGCTGGAGGAGTGGCTCAAGTGGTAGAGGCCTGCCTAACAAGCATGAGGCTCAAGACGTAGGCCCTGAGTCCAAACCCCAATACAGACAAATTGCATGACAATACTCATCTTTTTCCTTATTAGTGTTACTCTTTTTCTTATTTGTGCTCACCAGTTAAATTTACTTATTTGTGCTCACCAACTGAGTAATAAGCTACTTAAGCCCAAGGGCTTTCCTTACTAAATGATACAACTATTTGATTATATGTAAATCTATTACAGGGATTGGCAAACTGCAGCCTGCATACTCATCCATTATACACTGGCTATTTATGTTTTCATGCTACATGAGCAGAGTCAAATAGTTGCAACTGATACTGTATTGCCCAAGAAATGTTTCTTTGCTCCCTTAATAAATTTGCTTACCCACAGTCTAATCAAAAATTTAAGATGGACTTTCTAGTCAAAATATTCAATTTCTAACATCAATTTCCTAGGGCTTTCATACCTCCCAATAAACAGCCCGCTTTAGGACTGACAAGACCATTACAGTCCCTTTTTTCTCTGGCTATACATCCTTAAGTACAAAGCAAAGGTCTTTTACCTGGTTCTTCAAAGCCTTTAATAACTCCAAAGATATTAAGAATTCTTATCTCTTTCAGCATATTGTTCACAGTGAGCTTCACATTCCGATTTTGTGAGGATTGCAGCCTACATGAAGGGTCTGTTCCCCAACTAGAAGGACATTCTCCTACCATATTTCTAGAAGCAGAAAAAATAGGCAAAGTTCTGAGTTATTGTTATTTCCCTCAGATTTACAGAATCAGTCCTGTTTTGTGTCCAGTGAGGTCCTAGGTTAAAAGGATATATGAAGAGAACATATACACTCCCTAGTGGCCAATCATTTTTGTCTTAATGTAATATGTAGACAGTCACTTCAAAACCATTGAGTTACCACCTAGTTTAACAGCATTTAAATGTTTATACCTTTCCATCTAATGTGCCTTTGTGCCAGAGACAAAGCTCTAGTTTACGTACGAAATACAAACCAAGATGGACTCAGAATGAAGTTCACATATAAAAGTCCACTAATACATATTCATGTTCCCCTACCTTCTCCATCAACAACATTCTTATCGTTATATAAAGGAACATTCCTGTGCTGCTGCTGGGAGTGAAATAGCTTCACCTAATTCCTCACACATCATCCAGAAAATAACTGCTCCAAAGAGTCTTATTTGCATAAATATAAGTCAAGCCATCATTGTCCCTTATTACTTAAGATAGGGGTCTGCCTCTCACACAGTATTTTACAAGGCCCTTACATATAGATGCTCTTCATTTGAGACCAACCAAATGAATATATTTTAGCTACCCAGTTATTTTTTTGTTGATACTGGGGTTTGAACTCAAGGCTACACTCTTGCAGCAGCCACTCTATCTTTCAGCCACTCCACAGCCCTACCAAATTAAGTTGAACAGGACCACAGGGTTAGAGTAATTTGTTCTATATTACACAATAAACAATTGCTTGAGTAAGGGCCTGAAATTAGATATTCATCTTATGACAATACCAGGTGGGAAATATGTTAACACAAAGATAAAAATTAATGGCCGGGAGCTGATGGCTCAGGCCTGTAACCTTAGCTACTCTGTAGACAAGGAAACTAGAATAATTCTGTGCTGTTAAAAAGAAAGCAATCCAGAGCTAATGCATTCAACATGAATTCTCATATATTTTCTCTAATCACTAGATGGTTTTGCCATAGGCAACAAAAGCATTTCACCATAGGAAGTACAGACAGAAGTTATATCAGAATACCATGAGAAATTCTGCTGACTTTATAAATCTAATCTCTAATGCCAAGATCATAAAGCTTTTCATTTTTATCTTTATCAAGTTAATAGCTAGTCACCCTCCAACTTCCCCAAATGCAGAAAATGATAGCTAATTGTTTTAAGCACAAAACCTCACCCCCCCCATAAGAGAGCTTTCAAATAAGAACTCACTCAAACAGCTTTTCTGCACCTTCTCTGGAAATTGTCTGGACAGGTATATTAGGCAATCCTGATGACTGAGATGGTGGAAACTGAGTATGATTGAAAGAAGGAAATCCAGGTGTGTAAGGGTCACCTGTTCCCAGATGAGCCTAGTAAAACAAAAGAGTGATTAGATCTATCCAGCACTAAGTTCCCTGAAGATTCAGATTTGGTATGAGCCCAAGCTTACTTTAGCAACACAGCATCTTGAAATCTAAGTGATTCCACAATGTGCCTTGTTTTTATATTTGTCTATGCCAAATTCTCAATACAAGGCACGACAAATGAAGTACTTTTAGCAACAAACATTTTCAGCAATTCTCAATTCAAGGCAACACTGAGAGAATTTTTACCAATAAGGTTTCTCAACCACGGTAATCCATTCTATTTCTACTAAAGTATATGGAATCCCATTACAATTTGAAAAATTCCAAAAAATATTTTGTCTCAAGAAACTTACATGTCCAAAAAATGGAACGTTTGCTTTAACAATGGGATATTTAGCCTTGTCCATGTATATCAAGACACCAATTGCATTTAAGCTTTCAGCATTTGCAACCTAAAAATGAAAACAAAACATAAGAACTCAGAAAATGATGACGTGATCATACAAAACGAGACTAACACATACTGGACTTCGTCCTAATAATGGACAAATTGTTACTAAGGTCTAGGCTGACACTCTCAAAACCAGGCCATTAAATGAATTAAAATAACTCATTAAATAATTTTTTTTTAAAAAAGTAGCTGGGCATCAGTGTTTTTCACTCCTGCAATTCTAGCTACTTGAGAAGCTAAGATCAGGAGGACTGAGGATCAAGGCCAGCTTAGGCAAAGTTTGAGACCCCATCTCCAAAATAATCAGAGTAAGTATGTGTGACTCAAGGAGTAAAGTTGTAAGCACAATGCCCTGAGTTCAAACCCCAGTCCCATCTCTCATCCCCCACCACCCAAAAAAGACTGATTGTGCCTGGTGTGGGAGGTTATAGGGATTTCCAGAAAGATTCCTCTCTGTCCTCCCCCCTCACTCCCAAATAACACCTAACTATTACCTGCTTTAAAATTCTTTTGGAGAATTTGGGAAGAACTAGTAGTAAAATTGTCTCCATAAGAGAAACAAAAAAAGGGTCATACTCAGTTGTGAATATGAATGCAGTAATAATATAAACAAAGAATGTTCATTTACCAAAAATTATGATAAAACTATATTGAGAAAATGAAAGAATGGAAAGAAGTGAGTTGGTAGAGAGTAGGAGTGCTAAATTCACACCTTTCATAATTTAAACTACAACTGGACAATGATGAAGTTGACTAATAAGCAAAATGCTGTGTAACCATTTCATTCAGAAATATAGAGGAAAATATCAGAAAAATATTAGAAGGATGACATAGAAGAAAGAGGGGACAGTGATGGAGAACTCAGAACTCAGGAATGGTGGTAGGGAAATGACCATAGTTTCTCCATAGTTTTGAAGTATTCTTTGACTTAGGTAATTGGCACTTTAATAAATTGTATTATCAGATATGTGAACTTCAGACTGCTGGTTTTCAGAAGAATATTTTAAAAAAATATACCAATATATTTAATAATCCATACTCACCTTTTCTGCAAAAGGTATTTTCCCTGCTCTAACAATCACTATAGACCCATTCACAGGAGAGCTTAAATTCTCAAAGTCTTCTTTAGTGCCAAAATTAGCATGGATCAGTTTACCCTAGAACAAAGACATTAGGTTTAATGAGGGTTATGATATAGAATCCCAGACAGAAGATTTTTGCATGCTAATACTAATAAAGCAACCAAGAGGAAAAAAAGTGGTCAAGGCTAAAAGGTGAAGTCATGATTTTTGACTTCCTATAATTTATGTCTTTGCTTACCCTATGCTGCCTCTAAAGGGTATTTTATATTACTTCAGGGGAAGAAAAAAGGGTAACAGAATATGTTGAACACAGAATCACATATAGTATAGTCATGGAAGCACCAATTACCTATATTTCCTAATCTAATCTTCAGACAATTAAGGACATAAAGAAATTTTAACTGAAATGTCTGAAAAATAAATCTGTCAAAAAAATTCCTAAACACCATATATAATAAAGTGAGTTGCATAAACCAACTTTGAGATTGTTTATACAAACTGTTAATCATGATATTCCAAAACTCTATGAACAGCAGTAAACTGACATTAACAACCCAATATCTGAATATAAAAGGCTTATGGGTGAAATGAACAATATACCCAGCTCCAAAATCCTAGCTTGTAGGTAGGTAGCCAGGAAGTGATATACAAAACCAGAAAAACAGAGTAAAACCACAAAATTTTATCTGGTTCAGAAAGTATCCGCTAAATATACACCTGCCATACAGGTATTTTTAACCTGAATTTATTCTGTTTATCCATTTTCTATTTCTGCATTAATTTGGCTATATTTGCTTGTTTAAAAAAAATTGAGCTAAGACTAGACTCCAGCCAAGATGGTTACATTTTACAAGTAAACTTACACTTGCATGTTTACATTCCTAAGAACAGTAAATTCAATTGAGTTTTCAGGCTCTTCCACAGGGAAAAGACTTACTGTAACTGTTGTAGCCTTACTGTATGCCACATAACCTTCAGGATTCTCTACCAGGTATACCAGGTCACTACTTGAACTCGCTGTCACCGAAGTCACCGAGTTTTGAGCACTGCTAAAACAGATTTAAAAGATTAAAAAGTTAAAAATGAAGCTGAGGGACTGGAGGAGTGGCAAGAGGTAGAGTGCCTGCCTAGCAAGACAAGAGATCCCAGTACTGTAGGAAAAAAAAGAAATCTACAAAGCTAAGGCCATTCTTGGAAAAAAAAATAGCTTTAATATACTTAGCACTTGATTTGCATTATTTTTTGGTTTGAGGAAATATAGCTCTAAATCTTAACCTTGATTTTTATTTTGAAGGTCTTTGCTATATTTAGTATATTTGAAGGTAGCTACTTCTATAAAATAAAGTTTGCCATCTTTCAACATACCTGCCTTTGACTTGAATCTTAACGTAATGTTCATCACGCCAAACTTTGCTGAGTTTAAATTCATGGAATTGATTTTCAATAAAATAGGCAAGATTTTCATCTTTTTGAGATCCAGCCTCACGAGGGACATAGGTATTTTGATTCAGCTGTCTGGAGGGAAAAAGGACTGTGTTAAAATGTTTAAACATTTAGGGCTGGGGGATGGATGGCTCAAGTGACAGACCACCTATCATAGCAGTAGTCCCATAACAGATGATTTCAATGCCAGTACCAAAAACAGTATTTAATCAAGCAAATTGTTTATATTATAGTTAAGATGGACTATGACCTAAAATTTATAGATTGACCAGATAAAACTTAGAAGAAAAACAATTGTACCCAACATTTAAAGCGTATTTCTTCAAACTTTTTTTAAAATCTCTTTATTCATCATTAAGCACCTCTTCAAAAGTCCCATTCTAATAAACACAGGTGCACAGGACAGTTTTAGGGAAAATAAACAGTGCCAGGAACTCTGCTACAAACAAAATGATAAAGCACTATTACTAGTGAACACAAGAAGTGCAGCTTCAATTTTCACCTCTTTGAAGCGTATGAATTCTCTGAAATAAAACTGCTTATTTGATCTCCCATGGCTCTTTTTAAATATATTCAGCATATTAATTCTTGCTTTTTGTTTTTGTTTCTGTTTTTTTGGTGGACTATATTTTCACTTTATCCATAATGCCACCTGTACAGTATACACAAAAGTAAAAAATGCTAGCTGGGCACCAGTGGCTCATGCCTGTAAACCTAGCTACTCAGGAGGATCAAGGTTCAAAGCCAGCCTAGGCAAATAGTTCGTGAAACCCTATCTGAAAAAAACCCAGCGCAAAAAAGGGCTGGTGGAGTGTCTCAAGTGTAGGCCCTGAATTAAAAAAAAAAATTTTAAAAATGCAAAATAAATAAATAAATAAATAAAAATGCCAAGACTTCTAGCTCAAGACTGAAATAATTAAAGTACTATTGAAACTAGGAAGCTAGCAAAGGTAACATGAATTTGCTCTTTAGAGACATGTGTCTAATGAAGATAGTAAAAATGTAAGGGTACTTCTTGGGGTATGGATTAATGGGTGAGAAGAGAAATTAAATACTAGAGGATATATAAGGGTTAAGGTACAGCATCAAGGACCTGTGAACGTTAAGTGAAATGAGACTCCTCAAAAAAGTCTAACTTTTTACCTACCCGCACAGTTTTAATTTCTTACTGACTCCTCTCCACCTTATTTTATTTCACTACACCTAATAATAATTAGTAAATATTTGTTTAGATACTGAGGATTAACCTGTTAGTAGCCCAAGCTTACTTGATGGTGCTGGTGAAGTCTATGGTATTCAGTTTCTGTGACAACATTGTTTTGAGGTCTGTCCAAAATAAACGAGGAGATTGAGCAGGGACTGCCTCTTCCTCCTCGATGTTTCCCGAATTGCTCGTCACCGTTACTGCCAGTCTCTCACATTCAGTTTTTGAATCTACACGTTTACAATAGCCCAGGTAGCCAATCATAAATCCTAAGAATAAAAAGTTTTACAACTGAACTTATAGAATTCATTTACAATTTATCCCTGTAGGAATTATAAATATTGCCAGCTAAGCTTTGAAAATACTGGTTTTAATTAAATTCTAAGTAGTTTAAAACAAATAATGCATCTCAGTTTTATAGATTTTAAAAGCATTTAGCCAATAAGTTATAATAGATTTTAAACAGTTAACTTGTTCAAACATAGATATTTACCTTTTCTTAACAGAAGCCTTCCTTGAAACCTCAGGGAGTTTCTATGCTCCAAATATCCTATGTATATTTCTTACAACATTTTCACATTATATTGAAATGATTCATCACATTCCCCTTTTCTAGACTAAATTCAATAGCAGGCATAGAATCTCAGTCATTGTATTCCTAATGGCTAGCACAGTGATATTTAAAAGGTACAAAATAACATCTGCCAAGGCAATACAGCAGACTTCCAAACTTGAACATAAGAAACACTTCTAAGATTTTGAATGGCCATCCTTACCAATCAAGAAGAAGATAATTATAGCAATAGCGCCATAGCAGATTCTTTCATTAAACCATTTTGGTTTTGAGACATGGGCCCTCGTGTTGTTGTCAGCATTTTCTTCTTCATCTACTGCTAGCTTCATCTCTACATGGCTGTTATCTCCATCTACTTGCCGAGCCAGGCTAAACCGGGTATATGACAATGGTTCTCCACCAAACTGAGTTTTTTTGAGAAAGAGAAAAGGCATTAATTAAGGAGACACAGGGAATTAGGAACATTTAGAAAAAGTCTGGTCATGCACTGTTTGTTTTGGAGCCATTACTATGACTTGGTATACATGCTTAAGGAAAAAAAACATTCTTTCAAACCAACATTCTTCCCTGTTCCCAGTTCTGTCAATGGAAGATGTGGCTAGACCACCACACTGGTCTTTATCTCATTCAGAGTTTGTTCTGTATGTCTCCTACTATGCTTTTTTCAGATTTTAAATTTTTAATTTTTATTTAAGACATAGGGTCTCACTATGTCACCAGACTGGCCCTGAACTCCTGGGCTCAAGTGATTCTTCTACCTCTGTAGTTATGACTATACTGTAATTCATCTTTCTTACCTGGCACACCCAAACTACCATGAAATTTGCAGTATTTTTCATAATTAGCCTTAAGTAAAACTGAATATACCCATAAGCTGGGTACACGTCTGTAGTCCCAGCCCGGAAGGCTAAAGCAGGAGGATTGAATTCAATGCCAGCCACATAGCAAGCCTGTCTCAAAACCCCCCCAGAGTTAAAATACCCTGAAGATACCTTTCCCTTGTGGGATGTTTGGCCTCAAGACCACCAGTCAGGGGTGTGTGGGGGGAAGATAAAGGAGAATGATGGAGGGGTGAATTCAACTCTGATATATTGTAAGAATTTTTGTAAATGTCACAATGTACCCCCAGAACAATAATATAATAATAATAAAAAAAATCACCAATTCAAATGAAAAGAATTCCTGATAATAGTTTTGGGTATTATTTCATGCTCACTGGGTGAAACCATGCTTACAGACTTCATTCTTGCAAACACAGAAACACAACTGAAAATCTTACCAAGTTAGACAATGCTGATCTGGCTTGATCCATCATTCTGAGTTGCCGCACAGAAGAGTCTGGTATTAAGAATAGAAAATAACAATGAGAGATACTACTTCATCAGTTTAGTTAGGGCTTTTCATTATCAGGCTATATTATTTACTTACCAAATTTACTGTTAGAGGTATTATCACTTTTCTAGATTTCTTTTTTTTTGCGGTACTGGGACTTGAACTCAGGGCCTACACCTTAAGCCACTCCACCAACCCTTTTTTGTGATGGGTTTTTTTGAGATAGGGTCTCACTATTTGCCTAGGCTGGCTTTGAACCTTGATCCTCCTATCTCTGCTTCCTGAGTAGCTAGGATTACAGACATGAGCCACCAAGTAGAAAATCTTTTATTAAGACAGTCTCAGGCGGGCACCAGTGGCTAAGGATAAAGTATCATGATGTCTAACTTACTTTCAAATAGTTCATTTAAAAAAATACATAAAAAATACAGAAAATGGGGCAAATGTAAATGGTTAACAGTTGGTTGGTAATGGTACCTGGATGATAACATCATATTTAAATTTTTCCTGTAGGCTTGAACTTTTGAAAATTAAAATGTGGGGGAAATCAGTAAGAATATCATCCTTGAGAAGCAGATTTACATAATCAAATTTAGCAACCAAAGGAACCAATACAAAAAGACATGAGTGTGTCACCTGAAAAAAACAGAAGAAACTAAAGCAGAAGTCAAGAATGTCATGCTACAAAGATAACAGAGCAGCCAGGCATGCTGCAGGCCTCTATTCCAGCATGCTGAAGCTAGTTTGAAGAGAGGTGGGGCAAAGACTACAAAGCACCTCCAACAGATAAGGAGAGAAATTCTAATTCTTTTGATTAAGTGAATGTCTACTGCGATATAAACAATGTTATCTTTGAGACAAAAAGGGCAAAAGAAAAACATAGGTTGTACTATTTTACAGATACAGAGGTCAGTTATCTGAGAGGCTAAGTGATTTGTTCAAGGTTGAAAATTAGTTCAACAGGCTACTGTCATAGAAACTATTCTCATCTCTAGAAATTCGAGAATTAAGGTCAACTTTTCATAGCAAAACATTCCTCTGTAACCAATAGTTTTAAATTAAAATCTTAACTAAAATCCAAATTTTGTAATTAAAACTTTTCCTACACACAATTATACTTGTAGCACATTGAATACCCACTCAGCACAAAGCAAGCAGATGTGAAACAAAGCACATGGCGTAAGCTGGTTTAGAGCACCTGCCTAGCAAGCAGGAGGCAGGGTTCAAACCCAGTACCACCACCACCAAAACAAACAAAAACTTAAATTCCAACCTTTAAAGACCAAAGTCATATACAATAGAACATATTCTTAGAAGCACAATCTCTTGCCCCTCCTGGTACAAAAAGTTTATCACCATACTGCACAAGAACTGTACAGACCCAATCACTAGAGCCAGAACTAAAAGGCCCCACCCTGAGCCAGCCTTAATCATCCTTTTCCAGGAAAAAAACTTGTCCGAATCAGCCAGTTCTCAACTTTTCAGCTTTAAATTAATTTTATGTACTCATACTGGGGGAATGAACCCAATCCTCACTCACGCTAGCCAAGCACTCACCACTGAGTTACACCTCCAGTTGTTAAATTAATCTCTTTTCAGGGGAAAATGGGGGAGTTTACTGGGATTTGAATTCAGGGCCGCATGCACATTACCACTTGAGCCAGCCCTTTTTGAGATAGGGTCTCACCATGTCCCTAGCCCCCTCATTAAACCAATTTTAAAACCAAAGTAGTAACACATTTAAATAAATGACCTAAATAAAGAATTTAAAGTGATGAAATTGAGTAATTGAGTCTGCAGGAACAGATAGATATTAACATGCAATTATTAGCATATATAGTTATAACCTACATTTTTTCTATTTCAGCCCAAAGACACAAAATAAGTCATGTTAGAAAAAAACTGCAACCTAAAACTTCACTTTAATCTCATTCAACTACGACAGTAGTTATTCCTGAGGGTTTTTTTTTTTTTTTTTGCTTTTTAATCCATCTTATTTTTTTCTAATTTTTGTTATTTTAATTTCCTTGGCAATGTTGAAAATACAGATTTTATGCATAAATATGTGCCATACCACAATATAGGGAGGGGGGTAGTTTTGACAACAGAAAAAGTCTAAACAATAGACAAAACAGAAGTCAGGTAACTGGTTCTTACACCTCACGCCTAACATTAGAGTGTATATAAAAAATTTGATTCATTCTTTAAAGATAACCTCACATATAAAGAAGTTTCTCATTTAAAAGAATCTTTTGACCTTTTTAAGCAAAATCACTAAGTTATGGTCTTAGAGTATGGAAGAGAAATCTTTCATACCAATTATAACACAATCCTATCTATAAACAGGTAGTTCTGCTAAGAGCCCATATCCAAAGCAAAACAATTCTCATTTGGGCTTATTTCAAGATGTCACCATCAATTCAATCTTTTACAAGACACAAAACAAACATCTTGATTTTTACTCATTAGATACTTATATATCGTTGATGTTCATAATGGTGACTGAAAAAAACATTCAATTCTCGTATTAACAAAAAAATAAAGAGCAAAAACATAGCCCTATGTTTTCAATCGAAATGGAAAGATGATCTGAAATGTCTTTGAGCTGTTAGATGAAAGATAAGCAAACAAATCAGCTAGATTAATCCCAAACTTACTTAAAATTCAATCATTTTGCTGGGAATGTAGCTCAGTGGTAAGAGGCTGGCCTAGCACATGAGAAAATTCAATCATCCTACTCCTACTTTTTTGGACTAGGGCATTGAATTCTACTTAATTTTTCAGTACCGTAATTACCTTGAAGTCTTAAGCTACTTTGGGATGTCTTGAGACCAGTGACCTGTAAACAATGTATAGAGCTAGGGGCGGGGGTGGGGTCAAATATTCTTTCACCCACGTATTATAACATACCCAAAGGTACTACTCCCTTTTCAGTGAAATGGAAATAAGCCTTGTTAAACGTACTGACAGGCCCACTTCAATTTAGAAATCAGGTCAAGACCTCGGAGCTCACATAAAAGTTCTTCAGCCTTCCTTCAAGGCTCTGTTCCAGAGATCTTCACGGCCTAACAAGTTTTTTCTGAGAAACATGTTATTTCTAGTGCAACACAGACATAAAACTAATACTATAACAAAACAAATCAAGTCACAGAAAAAAATTCTGACTTCTATTTTCTCAAAAATGAGACAATCCAACCCCTCTTTCTCTGTTCATTAAAGTCCTATTTATTTCTTCCTGGCTCAGCTCAAGGGCCATCTCTGTGCCTCTTTTCTGACTTATCTCCTTTTCTCCTGGGAGGCTCAATATTGAATTGAGGCAATTCACATGGAGTAAGGATATTTTACTTTACAGTATTGGGATGTGCTTATGCATGACCTCCAAATGACGTGAAAAATATAATGAAAATCTTGGACCTGGAATCTTTCCTCATGCCTGGCACGGTTCTGTTTATCTTATTATAGGAGGAAGATTTCTGTGAAAAGCAGAAAAACTTTAAATTTTACCTGGTAGGACTGTGAAATCTCAAGCAAGTGGTTGTAGATATTACACAAACTTATTTCCTTAGGCAACTATACATTTGCCAACTGTAAAGAAAAGATTATACGAACTACAAAACTTCTGCAGGGTCCTCAAAACTCAAACCTGCACATACCCAAAATGACTTGACTAGATAGAATGGTCTTTCTTAGTTTTTTTTTTTTTTTTTTTTTTTGGTGGAACTGGGATTTTAACTCGGGTTTTGAGCTTGCAAAGCAGGCATTCAACTGCTTGAGCCACACCTCCAATGCATTTTGCTCTGGCTGAGATGGGGTCTCATGAACTATTTGCCTGGGCTGGCCTCAAACCCTACTAATCTCAGCCTCCCAAGTTGCTAGCATTATTGATGTAAGCCACTGGCACCTGTCTCTCAGTTTTATGAGCCTGAAATGAACAAAGGGCAATGGAAAAAACAAGGAGAATCTTTCCATACAGCTTTCTCAAAGACTCCCCAAATTGAAGGTGAGAACCACTTGAAGTCAATGCAGTCTATTTGTATACTGCTCATCTGGAAGAACAGACAGAAACTAGGCACCTGCACCTAGAAGGAGGGTCACTTTCATTGTTGTCTGATTCAGGTTAGGTGGGAACTTTGCTCCATTACAGGTAAGTACATTATCAAAGGCAAATAACTGCTTAGCTTTAGGGTGGAGTTAGCCAAACTGATCCCAATCCAAGAACCCACACAGGCTGGGTTCACAGCCACCACTACAAAAACATCCCCTCAAAGGGGGGAAAAAAAAAAAAAGAAGCTGCTATGCTACATATAATCCTTTGGGAAATTAAATTGTAATTTCAAACAGGGGGGACTAAAACAAACAAAAAACAAGCAAACAGCAACAACAAAAAAACCAGCAGGGCCTCCAGGTATTTTAAAAGAGCCCAAACTTAATTTTCATAGTAAGTAACTTCTGGAAATCAGCTTAAATGTCTGCCAATAAGGTCAAATTTCCGAGCTCAAAGGTAATTGAATCAGCATCTAGTACTCCAAACTCATATCTAAGCCTAGAATAACGGTATCAGATAACCAAATACTTCTGTAACAGGACAACTATTTCCTACTTCAAGCCCCTTCTCAAAAAAAAAAAGGCAGGAAGGTGGGGAAGGCCGAAACAGCAAACCAGCCCTATAGATAAGTGAGATAGCAAGGTCATTGCAAGCAGTGGGACAAGAGAAAGCGTACTTGACAAGATTTGTCAAATATTCTCTTACCCACCCTCTCCACACCACCACTTTAGAGATCTGTCCAACACAAACAGTGCACTGTGTCTTTCTGCAGCCCTTGGATCACACCGCCAACTCCCAAATGGCTATTACAAAGATGTCTTACTCCTGTGGGCTCCTCTCTCTCGAAGTGAGGACTGCTAGCAATATTAACGTAAACCCCTGCAGCGTTCGGTGGGATTCAGCCTTGGAAAAACTGAGAAATCCCCCCACCCCCACATACAAGGCCAGCAGGCGGGGCCTGGCAAGAAAGCCCAGGTGGCTCGAATTCAAATGTAGGATTCTCAGAAACTGCCACCTACATGTCCTTGACATGCCACCTACATACCCCCCCAAATCGGGGACTTTTTTTTTTTTTTGGTCCCTTTCCGCAGTGACATCAGGGACTGCGGGGGCCCGGAGAAAGTGAAGAGTTACAAGCCCAAGGTCACCCAGGAACCCCGATAGCCGTTCCCTGGGGCGACTTCCTGGAGCAGCCACCACGTGCTCCCAGGGAGCAGGCCAGGGCTGCGGCAGCTTGGCTGCCCCCGAGCTCCGGAACCCGCAGCCTGGAGCCGGCCACGCGGGCCTGCAGCCTTTTTGAGGAGGAAGAGCAGCAAATCCCGGGCTGAAGGAGCCGCAGGCAGAACACAGGGACTCACGGGACATGGGGAGCCCTTCACCCACCTCGCCTTCAGCTCTGTACGCAGTGGGGCCATTCGCCGCTCCGCAACCGAAGCGGGCGCGCAAAGGGAAAGGGGAGAATGGGGACCCGCCGCCCACCCGCTGCACCTGCAGCCCGCTCCCGGCGCCACCGCAGCCCCTGCCACGGGCTCGCGGGCCCCTCCGCCCCGCCGCAGCCGCCTCCCCAAGGCTGCTCGGCCCAGGGCCGCTCACAGCAGCCCTCTGGCTGAGCAGAGGACCCAAGGACAGGTCAGCAGAGTTCAAACAGCAGAGCGGTACTCACACTGGCACTTCCCCCGCCCACAGGCAACCGGCCGCCACCGGCAATCCTCACGCCCTCTGAGCGGACGGGCCTTGAAGCCGCCGTTTATAACCTTGCCCCCACCCGCTGCCCCCTTGGCTACGTCACTTCCTGTCTCACGTACGCCTCACCAGCTCTTGGAGGGAGCGCCGGCCGGGCGAGATTAGAGAAAAGGCGCCAAGACGGCAGGTGCCGGGAGAAGCCGAGCGATTGGCTCCCCGGCGCTGCCTAACCTTGACTTCCAGGCCCTTCAGTGCAAGGTCAAATGTGGTAGCATTGATTCCAAAATGTTGGATGCTTAACGGAAAAGTCGTTCCTTAAAGTGTAGATCCAGGATGGAATCTTAGGTTAGGCACTAAAGCCATATTGTGGATATGTGTGTTTTGCAACCTTAGAAAGACTTAAGCAAAGAAGGAAAAAGAATTAAAAGCAAAATGTACATTTGTATTCAAGGATGTACAGAAGCAGCACTTGAACCCACAGTGGCTAAGTTCTATGCATAATGTTTGATGCATGAAAGAATGGGAGGGAATGTAGAATCTAGTGACTGATTGGATTGTAAATTAACTTTCACATTCATTGCTGTTATTGTTATTCTAAGATTGTTGTTGCAATGCTTAACAAATACATTAAACTGTATTCTTGAACCTTAAAGCTGTGGTCACACCCTTTCCCTTCCTTCTAGTTTTCAAAAAGTCACAACCAGAGTCCTGGACCATAAAAGGACTGCAGATAAAAAGCTTTGCAGGTGGAGCCATTAGGGCCCCGTGAATGAGCAAATCCATTTCCAGGCATTGGGCTTCTGCTTTTCCTCTACTCTAAAATCCAGTTAAGTATTCAGGATTTGTCCACGCCCCCATGTCTACATCTCACCCCTCATCTAAAAATGTCTCTCCTCTATAGACATTTAAAAATCTTTTTTTTTTTTTTTCAGTACTGGGGTTTGAACTCAGGGTGTACACCTTGAACCACTCGCCAGACGTTTTTTTTGTAAAAGAGTTTTTTTGAGATAGGGTCTTGCCAACTATTTGCCCGGGCTGTCTTCAAACCCATGAACTGAGTAGCTAGGACTACAGGCGTGAGCCACTGTGGCGCCTGGCCTTAAAATTTTTATTAAAGGGGCAGGGGGACAGGAGGGTGAAATGGCCCAGTGTATGCACATGTGAATAAATGAATAAAAAATTTTTAAAAAAATTTTTATTAAGAAAACCCAGAGTAGAGGGTGGACATGGTTTAGCTACAGAGGGGTCACCTTGAAGTTCTGATAATAGGCTAAGTCCCTCTGTTTTTTCTTGATTGCTGGTATCTTTAGAAAAGAAACCAACAGCTGGGGGTGGCGCATCACTGTAACCCCAGCACGTGGGAGGCTGGGGCCTGAGAAGCTCAGGTTTGTAGTGAGACACTCAAAACTACAAAACAGTTGGATGCCGGTGGCTCACACCTGTAATCCTAGCTACTCAGGAGGCAGAGAACAGGAGGATCAAGGTTCGAAACCAGCCCTGGCAAATAGTTCTGGAGCCCCTATCTCAAAAACACCCATCACAAAAAAGGGCTGGTGAAGTGGCTCAAGGTGTAGGCCCTGAGTTCAAACCTCACTACTGACAAAAAGAAAAAAGTTAGTTTTCCAAGTATAAATCTTAAGCTTGGAGAAGAAAATGGGTTTAGGAGTTGGAGGTCAGGACCAATCATTTATATGAAATTTCAAAGAAAAGTTTTATATTTACTAAAATGAAACAATAAAGATGACACCAAAGAAGATGTCAATTATTTTTATTTTCATGCATTTATTAGCGGTCACAGACACTGTACAATTAAATTCCTTTTGTTAGCCCTTTTGAAACAGGAGTTTTAGACCCAAAGCCCAAACTCCTGAGATTTCATATGCCAGGTCTGGCCACTTGCCCTATACACCAAATAAACAGGTATGGTGATGGCAGTGAAAAGGGATTTGTTACATGGCTTGGGATATGCTGTGAGAAAAGGCAGAGTAAGCACTCAGCCCATCTTCAGCCTCTTTGGGTACAGACATGAGCTATGGGTTTAAGTAGACAAAGAACTGGGGACAGAAAAGGTATGCGTAGGCAGACAGTCCCGGTCACAGATATGGCCTGGTTGGTCATTATCTCAGTCTTTATTCTGAGAGAGGTTTCTGAGTTGTTCTCTGGAGTCAGGCAGGTAGTCCCATCCTGAGGAGGGTCTACTGCTTGGGGGTACTTTCGGTCCCTTGACATGAAGATGTTATTGGTCATTCCTGTCCTTCCTTGATTCCAAGGTGGCTGCAAGGTGATTGCTGAGAGAATGACTTAGGGCAAAGGCAGATACAAAGTGGAGGACAGTGCTCTTCTCCTGCTTTTAGTTAACTTGTGGGCCTGAGTAAGGAGTTCATGCTTTTCAGCAAAACCAGTTTTAGTACCTCTTACACTTTCTTGGTAGAAATTGCAGGATGTCCCTCCTCTGCTATTTCAAGCAAAGGCATATCAATTTATTTTGCTTTGTTGCAGAACTTATATGTACTGGGAGAAACAAACACTCAAATATTGTATTTTTCATCCGATTGTCATTGTTATTTTTGTTGCCATAATTCATAGGAGTATATCCCACTTCTGGACACCCAGTAATTTGAATCCTTCCAATGAAATATGGCCCTGGTAATCTTTTTGTTGTGGTGGTGGTACTGGGGTTTGAACTCAGGACCTACACCTTGAGCCATTCCACCAGCCCTTTTTGGTTGTGTGTGATGGGTTTTTTTGATACAGGGTCTCTTGAATTATTTTGCTTGGGCTGGCTTTGAACTATGATCCTACCTCCTAAGTAACTAGGATTATAGGTGTGAGCCATCAGCACCCAGTTTCTGGTAACTTTTATTTAACCTATCTGACACAACTGATGTAGATACTTTTCAATGTCTAACCTTCCACCGACAGTTAGAAAAGATGGGCCTAACACTGGAAATAAAATTCATTCAGGCCGGTCGCCAGTGGCTCATGCCTCTAATCCTAGCTACTCAGGAGGCAGAGATCAGGAGGATCATTGTTCAAAGCCAGCCTGGGAAAATAGTTTGCAAGACCCTATCTCAAAAAAAAAAAAAAACAATGCAGAAAAGGGCTGGTGGAATGACTCAAGGCACAGGCCCTGAGTTCAAACTCCAGTGTGAAGATAAAAATTTATTTGGTTCTTCTAAAGGCGCACAGAAATAAAATGATATATACTAGAATTTTCATAAAATTCATGGAAGAATGTACAATGTGCTAAAGAAACACACACACACACAAACCCCTTGAGTTCTGGGAAGAACACAAAGCAAGTGCAAGTGCTGGAGTCCTCAACTTTCTTGGGGTTGTATCAGCTTTTAAATGGAGCTGAGAATACCTGCTTCACAGACTTTCCTTTCCAAAGGAAACTCCTATAAACAATGGCACAGAACAGATTCTTGGCCACTATTGGTAGAGTCAGTCTGGGTGAGTTGGGGTAGTGTCCCACCAGGTTGATGTGGAATATATCTGCAGGCCAGGATGGGGAAGAAAGAAAGATTTCAGTGGACAAAGCCTCTACCGCCCACTGGCCTGAAGACTCAGAAGTGTGTGTGTGTGTGTGTGTGGTGTGTGAGAAAATAGCTAACAGCTATTTAAGAGAAATTACTGGTAGAAAAGAGGCTCCAGGCATGTCTGCTGCAAAATTCTCCCTCCTTGGACTTGCAGTTTGATGAGGGAGGAATGGCAGGAAAGTTTGGCAAACCGGAGAAACATAGGCATGCAGTGAAATATCGCCAGCCAAGAAGTCAGCACTGCTTCCAGATCCTCACCAACTGTGCCACAGCACTGTGGTTTCAACAGCTCTGTGCCTCAGTTTCCTTGTTGGTCATGTGGAAATAGCATCCTTTGATTTCCTTCATCAGTGGCAGAAAAAAGTAGGTGAGTTTCTTCAACTATATGGTTATGCAAATGTAAAGTGTTACTCATTCGTAGCCCAGTGCGAGAAAATATGCAGTGACACACAGATCTGGAAACTGAGAAATTCTAAGCAACTAGCAATGAGGCTATTCCATAAGAAAGAAAAGCAAAAAGGAAGGTGTCTTTAAGAGCTTTCGAATGCTCTAATTCCAGACTCATTGCTAATGGCTAAGACAAAACTATAATAAATACCATGATTATTTATTGAGTAGTGTTGTATGCTGGGCAAAGATATGTAAAGAGATAAAAAGCAGCCAGTACAGGTGACTCACACCTGTAATCCTAGCTACTCAGGAGGCAGAGATCAGGAGGATTGTGGTTTGAAGCCAGCCTGGGCAAATAGTTCATGAGACCCTATCTCGAAAAAACCCTTCACAAAAAGGGGCTGGTGGAGTGGCTGAAGGTGTAGACCCTGAGTTCAAACCCCAGTACCACAAAATAAAAAATTTTAAAAAAGAGAGATGAAAAGCAAATCTGTACCCCTGAAAAGGCAAACAATTTAGGGGGGGAACAATTTATATTTAAAGGATAAATAGCAGGTTGTAGTGGCATACACCTATAGTCCTAGCACTCAGGAGGCTGAGGCCAGGGGATCAAGAGTTCGAGGCTAGCCTGGGCTACATAGCCCCCTGTCTCAAAAAAACCAAAAGGATGCCTGGAGGTGTGGGTCAAGTGGTAGAGCACCTGCCTAGCAAGTACAAGATCCTGAGTTCAAACCCCAGTGCTACAAGAAAAAAAAGTCAAAAAAAACAAAAGGATAAATAACAGGGATGCAGGGACATATATAGAATGGAATGCTATTCAGCCATGAAAAAGAATGAAATGCCATCATTTACAACAACATGAATGACCTGGAGGATACTACGTTAAGTGAAATAAGCCAGGCATAGACAGACAAGCACTGCATGATGTCATGCATGTGTGGAAGGTAAAAAAGTAGGTGGTGTGAGCCTGTCATTGTAGATCAGGGGATCATGGTCCAGTCCAACCTGGGCATAAACTCCAGACCTTATGTGGACAAATAACAAAAGTCAAAAGCTGGGGGGGGGGCGCTGTGGTTCAAGGTGTACAACACCTGCCTAGCAAGGCCCTGAGTTTAAC